ACGTGTGAGGTAATGAGACATTATAAAATATTACATTTAAATAAAATATATATCGTCACCTACCTACAAAGAAATGCAGGCACAGGTTTCAACATAACTTCAGTTATATTTTGAACCATAAGGCCCCCAGCAATTCACTTTGATGTGGCCTTATCTTGCCTTGCTTGTTCAGAAGTTTTCGCCGAAGAGAAACCCAGTTCAAATATTTATAAAAAAAAGTAGTTTTTATCTCTAGTTCTTAGTTTTTGTATTTACCTCTTCCTACTCAATTTCCCGCGGTCAAGGCCAATAGACCACTAGATATCAGACAGCCTGAAAGGTATACGACCCTCAATTCACTGCGGGTATTAACGGGTTGCCTAAGCACCAGGTGAGAATAAGTCTAGAAACTCAGGCCTGCCAAACCAATACTAACAAGAATAAATAATGACAATTCAATAGGTTCTGTGACACAATTTCAAATTGGGGTGTTTTGCTACAACCTGGAGAATTGTTTTCTCTGGAATGGGAGGATCCCAGAGTCCAGACCGACCAGTCCCGGATCACAGTAGAACTGTAGAGGCGAAACGAACAATCTGGAGTCTATTCCATAACACTCTGCATCCCATAACATATCGATCTACAGCAAAAATGCCAATAGAGCAGAATGAAATCAATAACACTATTCTCATACGATGGGAATGAGATACTTACGGAGTTAATCACCTTGTCCGGCATGGCTATAGCTTGTAATTTGATATACACCTACAAGGAGTTGGTGTGAACACTAGGTCACTGGGACAAATAAGTGGATACGAAAATAAACATACCCAATAATGAGACATCTTCCACAGAAATTCCAACAGAGACTTGACTGCTTGCTTATTACTATCACTATTGAATGATTTATCGATTTGTTGATCGATGTTTTCAACCAAAATTCCAGCGAAAAACGAGGGGTGGCGTTAGACCTCAAAAGTGTCAAAAATCGTTCGAACTGAGTAGAGCGATGGCTGACATATTAGACAGTTGAGGGCCACTTCGTTTTCATCAAATCCCAACAACCAGCGCAGAACCAGTGCAGATATTCCATGCTCAGTGTTAATAAGCAACAGCGCCACCAAGCAGAGGACAACTCAGGGTGCTAGACCTCAAAAGTGTCAAAAATCGTTCGGACTGAGTAGAACGATGGCTGACATATTAGATAGTTGAGGATCACTCCGTTTCTCATGGGTTTTTTTTGTTAAGCTGATGCGAGGATCTGTGAAGAGAAACGTATGAATTTAGGTATGCAACAGGGACATCTAGCAGAGAGCGATGGGAGTACCGGAATGACGAGTAGGTCGCGTCAGGATCCCGTCGGCTACTACAGTTTACTTTGCAGTTTAATCACGCTCAGCGGCTGATATCGTGGGCGTGTGTGGGACTGGAAGTCAAGGGACAGGACCGTCTCCAAGATAATTTGTTTGGTGATGTGCAGTGTCAGTGACATTTGACGTGGTTGGATTCAATTCGTATTCATTCTCATTTTACATAACTGACTCAATTTTTTTTTTTCTCTTTTCATATCCATATAATATAACTAGGTAATACGATTTACATTTTTTTTTATTCTCTCTTTTTCTCTTCTGAAATAAAGTTTTGTTCGTAGGTATACACTGAGGAATAACAATTATACACTTTTTTATTTTTTTTACTCGATTAATATTTTGAATAGTTTCCAGTATGTATAAGAACTTTCCACAATTCATTGGAGAATTGGTGGAAGGTTTTTTTTCTTGTTTAAAAAGCGGGGTCCGCTTTTAGAGGGTGGCGGAGTTGTGTCAAATGTCTAATCAATATTCCCTTCAAATCAAACACATCAATATTTCCGAATTTTATTATCTTCATTTACTATACTATACTACATTATTTCCAAATTCCATATTGTTTTTATTCACTAGACTATAACGAATAACTTATTCAGATATCCAGATATAAGGAATTGCAATAATCATCAAATAATGCCAATTTTGCTGAATTGGATATTATTCGCGACTTCCAATGGATTTACCTTTGGGAGCGGAATAATCAGATTGTACCTAGCTGCGAACGAGACCACACCTCGACCACCTCTCTAAAAATGAATCTCCGGTAAGTGTAATTTCAATATTCTATTTGTAACTCATACATTCGTGTTGAAGGCGATTTATTTCCTTAACAATTATTGACTAAACATGTTCCATTTTTATTCAAGATCTTATTTATTAAATCTCCACCATCTGAGTTTACCCCCTAGGTCGTGAGCTAGGCGTTTTTCATGAACATTGAATGATAATCAAATAAAGATTAATGAATAGGCCGGCTCGCGACAATATCATCAAGCTAGTTGTTCGTCTAGGAGGAAAATCAAACAAGATTTTTAAGAACTCATCTGAACCTCCATGTTCGATTTTGATTAGGAATGTCAGTAAATGTTTCTTTTCGATATGCCTTCTTTTTCCCCTTGCTTGATTGTTCAAAGAAAATCAATAAAGTTTTTGGAAATCTTATTTTGAAATCGAAGTCAGAGCTTTTAACTCTTCTTCTGTGAAACTATCAATATCTTCCCAGTTTCTGATACGTGTATGTTCATTGGCAATTGTTTTCATATCAAATAGAGTCTGTTGATAGAATTCAAACCTCCATGCAAATTGTTCAACAGAAATCTATATGATGGTCAAGATGATGACCACAAATTCTTAGAAATTCTGGAACATACAAATTCGAAGCAACCAATGTTTCCCGTGTATGCCAAAGTTATTCTCAGAACATGTTGATTACAGATTATGCGGGCACGGCTCATTGCTGGACTCAATACATTCAGGCGAAGACAGTTCGGGTTATAATCATTACAGTACAATGAGTATCACAACATTGGTACAATTGAAACAAACTCTGGTATCATCAAAAATGTCAATTGAAGAATTTTCAGCAGCATGTCTTCTGAATGTTGCAATTTGCAGCAAATCAACATTATCCTCACGATTTATACGAATTGTGACTCTATATAGGATTGAAATCCCTTTCGCATACACAACATCTCACTCTCTTTGCGAATGCCATAATGCGCACTGAATTCACTGGACAATTACTGAAAACAACTCAAACAACACCCAGAAAGATACACGCTGGCGAGTTTTCCGTAATAAGCTGGTTTGACCGGTCCAAAGACATCCCTTTCATAAAAAATCATTGTGGAGATTTTTTGGGGGCATATTGTGATTCGATTAATTTCTGACAAAACATTTTTGACATGTTTCGCTAGCAGACCTAATATGGCCACTAGATTTTGTTCAGAAACAAATTACATTTTTTGACATAGGGATTACTGGCAGTTTCTCAATTCGAAGCAATTTTTCGTCTTAGTGGGTAATTACTTTTCCATGATTATCCGACATTATTCGCTGTATCAGACCACCAACTGGTCATATCATGGGTCTGAATTTGATTGACATATCCATACCAAGTATATTGGTGGAAAAAAATCTTACATCGACGGTTATTATTTCGAATTAGAGGGAGATGAAAATAATAATGGTTTTCAAATATTTTTTGTGGTTGTTAATTTGAGATGCATCCTTCAAAAATATTATGACTGTTCCAAATCGACCCAATAATACGAGGTGGCCTGATGAACTTTAGGATAGGTTAATCATGCAATCAACGGCATTTATGAAACACCATCTATAAGTATTACATTTTACGAATTCAATTGATGTGAGAAGAGCATACTTGACTATAATTCTCATTTTGTAATCGTTATCAGTTTGTAGCATTGATATTCAGATATTCCATAAACACATTAATTGAAATGTGAATCACCCTGTGATGATAATCAGTTTTTGTCGGATTACTATATGATTCTTGCGCTCAAGGGCAAAATCAGAACGTACTCGCAGAAAATTGAAATTCATTTCTCCTATCTTAGAGATATTGGCCGAGAAAAAGTAGGTCATTTTCAACGTCAACACCCTGTTTCTCGAAAACTAGTAATATGATTGAGTAGGGAATCGGCATATTTGTTCAGTAGGCCAAGTACTATCATGTACCAAAAATATGGGTTATTCGACTTAACTTCATTCTTATATAAAAATAGTGCAGGGTCAAAATTTGGCGAGTTGATTAGTACTTAGGGAGTTTGCCTGGGGTGAATTCATATGGCGCCCGCTCAATTCAGGAATTCCTCTTTCAACGACTTTTCTTCTCATCGAACCCCCCGCTTTTTTCACTTTCCATCGTACCTCTCCATCTCCACTGAAGCAAGCGGTAAATCACCTACTTGCTTATGCCTGGTGGTAAGGTGGGATGAAACCTAGGCCCGTTGGCAAGGTGAGTCGACACCTAGACCTGGTGGCAAGATAGATTGACACCTAGGTCTGATGGCAATGTGGGCTGACACCTACGTTTCCTGGTGAGCTGTGTTGACACCTAGGCTTGGTGGCAAGGTGGGTTGACACCTAGCCCTGGTGGCAAGATGGAATGACACCAATGCATAGTGGCAATGTGAGTTGACACCTAGTCCTAGTGGCATGATGATTTGACACCTTAAAAAGGTGTGTTGACATCTAGGCCTCGTGACATGGTTTGTTGACACCTCGGTCTGATGGCAATGTGAGTTGACACCTTGGCCTCGTGGCAAGGTGGGTTAACACATAGGCCACCTGGCGGGGTGGGTTGACACCTAGGTCTGGTGGTGAGGTAACCTGACCCCTAGGCCTGGTAGCAACGTGCTCTATAGGACATGAAATCAGGTCAGCTGGTTGAACCTAGAGCGTTCCAATCTAAGAATGGCCGTGTTGTCATCTTGCAATTAGATATGCTTCTGCTCAGCAGATTGTGCTTATGTCTCTAGCTGGCTATCTCAGACATGTGCAAGTGCTGGGTTTTCAGCATTTAGCGTGTAGTCTAACTGGGATCAAGCATGACTCAGCTCCATCTTATCTTTATTGAATTGTGATCATAAAAAAAAAAGATCATCCGAAGACATGAACACGAATTTCGGATAGATTCTTTATTGTTATTCATTACATTCTGAAACGGAAAGTAAATGTGCAACCTATCTTGAGATTCAGCTAATAACTCATGATCTCATTGAATTTAGAGGTGATCAACGGTGAAAATAACTTCGATATGATGACGTAAATGATAGATCCTCTGACAGCGAGAAATACCTTCTTTTGTAGAAACATCACCCTGAAAATAAAAAAAACACTGCTTTTTACATCAATCAATACAACAGGAAGATCTATTTGTCAATAAATTTCAGGAGTTCTGGTTTCATTTCATAGATAACTACCATGTGATTATTGCCTCATTCTTTCAATTAATCAGGTGATTTTAAAATTTGAAGCTCCTTCCTGAATTGATTCTTTGACCTAAAAAAAAAGGTACAGTGCTCCTTTGAACAGAGGTCTTTGGTGTGCAGCATTAGAAGGCAAAATCTTTTGGGCGGTACGCGAAGCGCGTGTCCTACAAATAACTATCAGATTTAAAAACACAATTCAATAATAAACGTCGATTCAGCACAATCCTCCGAGAGACATAACCAATTGTTGTTGATTTATTCATAGTAACTACAAAAAAATTCAAGTGATGAACGGTGTTTTTCATCTTTGATGAGGATGATTGTCTACTCGAGAACTTTTATGACGTCTCTAGCGAATTAATTTATTTATCACGACTCTCTATATAAAAACAATGTTGAGATTAGCCTACATGAATGAGCTTCGATTATAGCAAGAAATCCCACATCCAGAACTCTCTTCTTCCAGGGTCTGAACGGCGGCGCGCACTAGGCGACAAATTACCCGAAACTGGCACTGTCTTTTCTTCTATTAATTTTGCCATGTCTCTAGCACAGACAGAAGTCATTCCTGAGCAGTAAACATTCCCTAGATACTCCTCAAATCTCTTGTTAACTGTTTGGTGAAGTGTGTCTCACGATAGCCGTTAAGCCATTTCCAGACATGCACACACATTGCGTTCACTGTTTTGTGGTTAATCGACTAGGTGGTCCATCAACTTGATGTTCTTGTTGTTTCTCTACGAACTCGAATCACTCCGAAATTGAGAAATGTTTTCTATGATGCTTGTGATGTGTCGATATGTTGATTCTGATATGTACCAAGAGGAGTATGGAGAGCTAGTGACTGACATCAAATAATGAGAATCACAATTCTCATTGAACACAGGCAAAGAACAGTAGGGACGGAGTCTTCAATATAGCATAATTATGGACAGAACGACGGACGTAATTTTTCTCTATCTTCTCCTTACATGTCAAATTGTTAAGATTTTTGGGAGATTTGTAGTAGACGAATTCAATAGATCAAGTCTTCCAGAAACTGAACTGAACTCCGCGTTTTATATCACATTTCATAACCTATATTCTATATCATGCACAATACTCCATGAATCTGTTTTTCGGAATGAAAACATCACTTAAGTCTTGCAAGATGGCGCCGAGTGAAGTTTCAACAGATGATGAAGCTGAAAAAAACGCTAAAACTTGCAATACAGAATTTACGAGTGCCTGTAAAAAGTGCTCTAGAGATACCAAGAGTAAAGTGTACTGTGTAGAATGTGGTGCTTTATATCACCCAGCCTGTGCTGTCTGGGAAAAAGGATTGAAAGTTATGGGTAATAATTTGCTTATGTGCTCAGAATGCTATGTTGCCTCCAAGCCCGCGGACATGGAAGAATACCAAATCGTAGTGAATAAAAATCAAGAATTGGAAAATACAGATGAGGTACATCAACTTTTGGCCCGGATTCAACTATACTCAGAAGAAAACACGTGGCTTCATGATAAAATAAGCATCCTGGAAACCAGAATTATTGATTTAGAAGAAAACGCCGAAGAAAATTCAGCAACTGATGTTATTCATGAGATCCTCGGAAAGATTGGAATTATAGAATCAAAGTTAGATAATTCCTGCTTTTATACCTGGTACAAAAAAACAGTCCTTTGCCGAAGTAGCAAAACATAATTCTTCTCCTTCCCTTTCTAATAATGGCAACATTGCTGGGACGTTGCCTCATGGACCTCCTAGTCCAAACAGACTAGTGCTTTAAAACGCCCAAAAAGAACAGAGCAGAGTACAAGTGAACAATTGCCAAGTTCTTCTGATGCTGATGATAGTAATTCCAAGGCCGTGAGAGAGAGTGATTAGTGAAAACGAAGATAATAAAAATAAACATAACAGCAGCTATCCTGGGACGTCAATCTTGGTCAAAATGTACCCCAAGTATCCTGGTAAACCGAGATAGCAATAAAGGCTCGACTGAGTTACGTGAAAATCACAATGTGAATAAAAATTTTCAATGAACTGTCACAGCCAAAGATATAATGAAAATCTGTCCATGTACTACCAGAATGTTGATGGCCTACGTACTAGAATAGTTGACCTTATAAAAAATCTGTCTGCATTTGAGTATGACTTGATAGTTCTAACGGAAACCTTACTCAATCAATATATTCATAGTGCAGAACTTGGCTTTGACGGCTACAACCTGTATAGACAAGATCGTGATTTGCTTTCTGCCATGAAAATGTCGAAGGTGAAGGAGTTATGATTGCAGTTCGAAATTCTCTCATATCTAATCCTGTTGATTAAAAACATTCAGCTGATGAGGTGAAATTTGAAGAGTTGTGGGTGTCTGTCAAACCACAGGATAAGAATTTATTACTTGGAGCTGTATACATTTCCCTTCAATCAAATAAACTGGTATATCAATTACATTGTGAAGCCACAGAGTTCATGACAAACATTTTTGAATGTTCAACTGTTTGCATTGTGTGAGTCTACAATTTACATAACATTCAATGGAATGATGACCATCTTGAAATCAGTGCTTATGGACACAGTTCCGCAGCTGAGTATTTGATTGCGACTTTTTCCTATCTGAACTGAATTCAATAAGCAACATAGAGAAAACAGTTTTAATCTTCTCCTGAAGATAGTTAGCGGAACACGTGTCGAGGCATTAAAAAATCGTTTTGGTTAGTGGTGAAACAGTGTAGTGTGCTATCAGAAACATTACATGAATATTTTTGGAGATTCCCATGTACCTGAAGCATCTTGGGACAACGAGTTAGGTTCTGTATTAGGCTGAATACTTTGGTTATTTTAATTTCTGTCAGAAAATCGACATTCCAAATAACAGATCAACATTTTTAGATTTGTGATTCACAAATGAATTTCACTATGAATCACATTAGCCTCTAAAATACACTGTTCATCATCATGATGTGACAAATGATGATTTTGCTGTGCTCAATGATGTTTTTGCTGGTGAAGACTGGAAGAAACAGCTCATTCCAAATATAAATAAGGCAGTGAGAATGTTTCATCATATTGTTTACATAAAAATCTCTCTGTTCGTGCCTGTGGAAAGATTCAAAACCTGAAATTTTCCAAAATGGTTCAATGATGATTCAAGATATCTCATCGAACGAAAGAAAATTGCTCATACATCAGAATTGTTGGGATTCATCTTGCTTGACTGCAATTAACTGTCAGTGAGTTCAATATGAACTGTATATATGACATTGATAGTATACTGGTAAGAGTATGGGCATAGTATTGGTCAATTGTTTGGTCACTGCACTACATTAGAAAGAGTTCAACATAAATTTATGAGATTTCGTGCATATGAAATAAACATTCCTATTGATGACCATGACTTCACCTCTATTCAGAACATTCTCAACCTCAGCTCTCTGCATGAAAGGAGAGTAATTTCTCTCCTGGAATTCATATCTGATTTCTTTGAATTGACTTGGCCGTTACTTGATGAAAATCCATAGCAAATGTAAAAACTTCACAAACTATAGGATTTTCACAAAATTCTCATACAAACGACATGATTCGCTAACACAGTAGATTCGTCAGGCGATATATTGTTACGTAACACCACCAAGCACCCAGATTCTCTTTGATAACACCTAGCTTTCATTGAGGAAATCACCTCAATCCAGTCCTCTGTTTATTGGAAACAATTGCAAATTTCAGGTGTATAAACCAAAGTTTCAACATTTCGTTTGCTTGAGGATGGGAAGATGTGGTTCGTATGATATGAATACCACATGTTCTGGCTAGAGCTCGAAAAAATTCTCAAACTCTCAAACTGGCAACTTCGATCCGATGGATTCCGCAATGGTGCACCATAGTTGGAAATGCATGACGGAAACAAAGCTCTGGCGACTGTTTCAGTTTTAATATCATAAACAATGCATGCCTCAGGTAGGCGTGAGAATCCGTCAATAATAGTCAAACAGTAGCGGTCACCATTCTAATAAGGCATTGGGCCAACGAAATCAATGTGTATATGTTCAAATTATGTACTTGGTGACTCCTTGATTAGTCTAGTTGAGGCACGGATACCTGGATGAGACAGTTCATGGAGAAGGTCGAACATCTTCTAGCTAAATTATAATGCTTTCACAAAAGATCTAGGAGATGTGCTGGATACATCGCAGAACGAAGTTTCCTCTGTACCTGGAGTTCGTATTGTCTTCAGATGCAGAGATGTATCTCTTCCTTTAGCAGTGATAATAACTTTGCATCGTTATATCGGGAATTCGCAAGTGCCGCAAAATCCAGAGATTGTTCAACAGTTGCTGCATGTGATAAAGTATTGGTCATTCAATTTTCTTTTTCTGAGATATATACAATATCTGTACAGAACTGTCCGATGTGATCAAGATAACGGCATTTCCTGGAAAATACTCTTTCGGGTTTCTGCTTGAATGCATAGATCAGGGGATGATGGTCTGTGAATATCACGAAATCTGGACATTCTACATCATGTTGAAAATACTTGACAGCTGAATGAATAGAAAGTTATTCTCTATCGAAAGTACTGTATTTCTGTTGTGCTGAAGAAAACTTCTTACTGGAGAATGCAAGCGGCTGCCAACCATTATCTGTGAGATGTTGTGGAACTGCTTCCATAGCATCAGCATCAGTTTCTCGTCCCAACACTGCCATAGAGTCCAAGTGGGCCAACAGAGTAGCTTCCGCTAGACTTTCTTATCATTCACAGGAAGCGAACGAAAGTTCATTGGTCCAGAGCATTGTTTGATTACTTACTTTTTCTTCCACAAGTTCATTCGATAGAGCATGGAGTGTGGCAGCATCTGATGTGAAACGACGGTAGAAATTCAACATTCCCAAGAATCTTCGTAGTTGTTTGATAGTTTCTGATTGTGGAAATTCCATAATTGCCCCAATTTTTTCCATGAGAGGCTCCATTCCATGCTCAGAAATTGTGAATCCAAAGAAGTCTATCACGGAAACAACAGATTGCCTTCATTGACATTTATCACAACGCCATAGCTTTTGAGTCTATCATGAATTATATTCAGATGTACTAGGCGTTTTCTTTCGACATTGAGGCTATTGGTGAATCATCGATATACACGATGCGATTCGAGTTCATCCATAGAACGTTGAAACGTTTGGGCCTCATTCCTCAATCCAAAGCTCATGATAGGAAATTCAAACAGACCAAACGGTGTGATGATAGCTGTTTTGAAAATATATTCTGGAGCAACTCTCATCTAATTGAATGCTTCCACCAGATCAATCTTCGGAAACATCCTCTGATTTTTCAAGAATTGTGAGAGATCGTGAATGTGACGAATTGGGTAGCGATCAGGAATTGTTCGTGCATTGAGTGGGCGATTATCACCGCAAGGACGCCACTCCCCATTCTTCTTGGCTACCAAGTGTAATGGCGATGACCAACAGCTATCAGATTGACGGCAATTTCCAATTTCATCATGGCTTCGAACGCTTTTATCAGTACTGAGTTTTGTTTTATTCAAACGTCGATCTCTGCATGCTACTGGAGATCCTGGAGTGGTACGAATATGATACTTCGTAGTTTTTTCCATATTTCTAGGAATATCATCTGGCTTCGTGATTTCTGGAATTTGACTGAGGAGATTGTGATATCTGAAATCACCACAAATGGATCCTAGGTTGGTCTGATCATCAGAGCACTGAACCCCATTTGATAATGAACCTGTGATGGAATCAATCGAGCAATGGTTTCGAATGTCAACAAGAAGGCTGAAGTAACTCAGAAAGTCAACTCCTTCCATGAGTTTTGTAACATCTGCAACTATGAATTGCCACAACAATTCACGTCTCAGTCCTAAGTAAAGTGACAGTGACACGCTTCTTCATATCTATGAATGACAGATCCGTTTGCAGCGAACAAATCGTATGATGTTCATACAAGGTGATTTTTTTATGTTCTGGTTTCCACGAACAGGAAAAACACACACGGAGAAAAAGAATCACTAACCCTAAGTGGATATTTAATAGTGGCAAGTAAAAATTTGCATACTATATGGGACAAGGAAACAAGTTGATAACCACAAGAATATTTGTGTTCCTGAAAATGTACACCTACTACTATTGACCTGTTTCATTGAATTTCAGATTGATAACGATTCACGATCACTTGTCATCAGTGACTTGTTCACTAGTCATTAGTGGCCTAATTACATGTCATTAGTGACTTATTTACTTGTCAATAGTGACTTATTCACTTGTCATAAGCTAGTATAAAAAATACCTCCATTGTTCTCTGAAAAATGATAAAACCTTGGTAATAAGACAAAAACACATGCATTCAAAACATTTTATTATAAAGGTATGATGAATCCTGAAAATACAAAAAAGGTAAGGCTGACGACCAATATTGAGATACTATAGATACCGCGTATATCAGCATCATTCACCGAGAAAAACGGTACTCCCACTCACTGCACTGCACTCTGGTCCACTATCTTTTTCCTTCTAGCATTGAAGATGAATGAACTTTCTTACTTTTTAAACGTCACTTCCTTCAACTCCGAGTATCATAGGAAGTGGAAAAAAATCCTGTATATATGTAGAAACAACTATGTACTGTTCTAGAAGAGTTTTGTATTTCATTATCTCCTTCAAGAGAACAGATCAAGAACTCAACACCC